TTCTCACAACTCGCTGTCCCTGAAGACTGATTAATTGATATCAACCATTTAACAAAGATGCAAGTCGACCCCCATATCCATAAGTAATGGATATTACTGGCATTATTGATTGCAATTTACTCAACTACACAGCTTGGATAGGGTTCGAAGAAAATCATGATTATGGAAAGTAACTTATAGCTAGGACAAACAGATTTTAAGCAGCTAAAACTACTCGATTAAGGTGAAGGAGAGATTGTGGTCATGACTGAAGGGAAAAAAGGCAAAAATTGTGTGCAGCCTAAGTTGGACACAGGTGCAGGACAGTTTGTATTATGAGACTGATCAGATGCTGATGATTAATGATTACTATTTATGAACTGAGTTATGCCATTGTATTATTATGAAGATGCATTATGGATGTTTTTAAGTCAGTTTGTTATTGGTGTTACTTTATACCACGTGATTTCTTAATTAGGGGTTGGGATTTCCTAAATATGCAGCCTATTAGTGTTTATATGATTATCTGCCTGAAGAAGATCATATTGGTTGAGACCTAGCATTGTTTAAAATATTTATCCTTAAGTTATTATTATTAAGTGTATGTCTTACTTCAAGAAGAGGACACCAAATTCAAATTTCTCCATGATCACAGTGAGGAAACACGGCCTAGACCTGCTAAACTTCACACTGCACCTCATGTTGAAGTTTTGGATGACATTCTGATCCACGCACTGATGGAGGTTTGCTCAAGACAGACATCACATCCATCCCACACATGCTCCTGGATTAACCTCAGTGCAACGCCAAAGACAATTTTATGGAGCGCGCTGACACTTTGATGCCAGACACAAGCGTAATGCTGGCAGCACCGATGCCATCACTAATGCTTGTTGTTGGAGGCTCACTAATTAGGGATGTTAAGAGCAAACTTATAAATGTGCCAAGCATCATAGTTTGTGACTCGGCCCAGAAAACGATGCTGAACCATCTGGGCGTCAAAAAGATCATCATTAATGTGGGAACTAATGACATTAATCAGTTTGTTGCCTATGATCAGCTCAGAACTAAACGCATCCCCTCAGCACTTCATCCAGAGACTATGCACAACAGAACGGAATTGATGGGAACCAGCATTTTGTGTGTGTGTGTGCTCTGTTCTCTCTCTTCTCATGCTTTTTAGATATACAAGTACTATGAGCTTAAGAAATAGATATTAAGAATGACTTTACACAAGTACTCTAAGAGTTTTTTTTATAATATATGTATAAAGGAAAACCCTCCTCCTAGAAATCTCTGCTATAAAATCCATAGAAGACTTATATTATTCAGCACTCAATTTGACATTCACCTGTATTTGTGCATGTGTGTAACTGTGACACACACTGGCCCTGCTTCTGTAGCTGTGCATCAAAGAAGGGCATTTACTGTTTAAAGTATCCGTGAAAGGAAAGTCTGGCCTTAGTTGTGTTGTGCTGAATACATTTAAACCATAAAGTCCTTTTTCAAGAGCTCTTTCTGAAAATAAGATCGAACCTTCTCCCAGCAAACTACATTCAGAAGCTAATACAGAACTGACTGACCTTAAACATAAGGAATTTTTAAATCAGTTTTCAAAATGCAGTTTCAGATTTTATTCCTTAATGATGAAGCACTAATATTTGTTTTTTTACACTGTATTGACTACCGCCTGCAACACAGTGATGGAGAAAAGACACTAATACCACAGAAACCTTGGGCCAAATGCAGAAACTGTCAGGAATCCATGCAAGACATAAGTATTTTTCACCCCCATTCACCTATTAATGTCTTGTTGTCTAGGCTGTGAATTGTTTCTGGGCGGTGTACAACCACAGATGGATCCGCTGTGGGGTTCTGCTGGTGATTTATATTAATGGACCTGACCCCAATCCCTCCTTGCCTTTTTCTTCTTCCAATCTTTCTCCCCCTCTGTTCCTCCCACTGCTCGCTGTCTTTCTCATCCCTTCCAAACACCCAGGAGACAGATGGACCAGCACTCAACTTCACACCATTTAGCTTTTCAAGGCTGCTAAAATAGTGTGTGTGAAGAGGTGGAGTGACAGAGTTGGGAAACAAGGCCTGTGCGTGTAAGACAGAGAGAGAGAGAGAGAGAAGGAGAATGAGCAGACATATTGGCTATGTAAAATGTCTGCATGCTTGCATTGTTTGTGTGTAGTACATGTATGTTTAGGTGTGTGCTTGTGTGCGGGAGGGCACTGGTGTGAGGTTGGCAGGCAGAGGTATGTGGGGAGTAAATGAAGGACTTAGTGCTCTACATGACTGACTGGTCAAATCTATGATGCTACCTTGAGCTTCCCTGGCTCAGACACTCCTGCTCTTCCAGTAATAGAGACCGAGTACTTCCCTGTACCAATCCAAAGAACTGCACTGTATACAGTGGAGATACATACTGACTTCACTGTATAAAAAAACTCCTCCTATTGCTAGAGTTAGAAGTGCACATAGGCAAAAAACTGAGTTATCACTGTTGGCAATATATAATAAATAGCATATTGTGAATTAGATAAGGCTAATGTGTATGTCTTGAGGCTAATCCTATTATAGTTTTTGCCATTATATTATCTAAATACTTTCTTTTTAGCTGTGCTTTTATGCCAAAGTAAATGTAAAGTAGCCTATTAAATGTGGTTATAAAATTCTGTTTTGTAATTGTAATTTGAATCCTTAAGCATATATTTCATTGATTTCCCAATTTATCGCTAAAGTTTTGTTTTTTTTTGTATTATTGCAATGTCAGTAATAATGTCAGGCCTATTAAACCATGACCTTCCTCCTTTCTGCTACTCAAACTGCTATTGTACTGTACTATTTTTAGTACAGTATTTGGTGGAGCAGATTTATTGAGAAGAAATCCAATGACTCAGTCTTAAATTACAGGGCAGCCCTCTCTTATTATTTAGCTAACACAATTAATGAGCCAGACACAATAATACCTATGATTCAGCTGTCTCGAGGACAGTGTGTGTGTAGATTGAAAGGTAATTCTCGACCTTGGAAACAGTAGTTGACAAAGCAATCTCACCACAAAGTCCATTCAGCGGCTGTTCTGGAGCTTTTGATCATAGCACACTGTCTTCCTCAGCAGATGGAGTTTGCCCAGCTGCTGTGGAATTTACAGCCCCACAAAAATAGAGTTTCCACGGTCAATAATAAATTTTACGTTTCAGTGTATAACATGAGGTTTGAACATACATGCCCAACACAACTGGGAAAAAGTCCCTCTACTAAGATCAAAAGCTATGGAGCTTATGGCTTTACACATTTCACAGTCAACCACTAAAACTGTGTGAATATTGAGATAAAATCATACAAAAAACAATTAACCAATTTCTCCAAGCATGTTTCAAAGACAGCACTGCTCTCTTTTTCAGGAGTGCTCTGTTCACACACACAGTTACAGACATCTACTGGAAGCTACCCAACACAGCCAGAGTCTGATCTGCTGGCGAGTGACCAGCTCGCCTTGGTGAGATATTCTAATGAAGCTGGTGGTGACTCTGAGCTTCATTTTGGCATGTTTAGTAGCAATGATTAACTTTGCCTGTCTTTTGTCAGTATTCTGTACTATTTTTTTTGTTTGAGTGGTTCTATGCTTTCCCCACTTTAACTCTGTGGTGTGTGACATCACTGAATCCTACTGCTAACATAAGATCAAGGCCAAGGACCCCTTGATTGCAACTCACTTCACTGAGAGCAAACCTCAGCCTGTCCAATTGTAAGAGGATGTCTCCATCTAGGAGGGGTGTTGCCCTTGATATCTGGTGCCATGTCGTTCTCCTTGAAACAGATGATGAAATTGACTGCCATTTCGGTGCAAGGGCTGCAGTAATGCATTTGCTATATTGGACCATAGTAAAGGAGTAAAGTCACACAAGCAAACTCATTTTCCCACTCAATTCTTTGTCCTGACCTTCACCTGTGGTCACAAGTTTTGTAACTGAAAGAATAAGATTCAGGACATGCACAGCCAAAATGAGCTATCTTTACTGTGTGATTGGCCTCACCCTGCATGATAGTGGGAGGATCTCAGAGGGCCTCAGGATCAAGCCACATTTCCTTAACACTAATAGTAGCTGGTGAGGTGGGGTCAGGGACAAGGTAAAAGTGCCTCTAGGGAGCTAGGGAATATAACTTCCAGCTGGTGTAGGAGTGCGTGGGGACACGCAAGGAGTTGCTGGAAGAGTTATGTTTTCTGTTGTGTTCTTGACACTATTGAGGATGAGACAGTAGATGGATCAATGGAGGATTTTACTGTAGCACTTAAACTAAAGATCGTGCAGATATTAAGGATGGGGTTCTATTTATAGCTGGGGGGTTTTTTATGTGTTCTTTCTGCAAGTTGCAAAGTTGTGCCTGGGGCCTACAAGAGTGTGCCTTAGTGATAGTCTGATGATCTGCTGTGCCCACTATTTACCACCCCAATGGAAGCTCTCTGTCTAGCTCTGGGAATGACAGCTGTGAGTGAAAAGACCCAAATAGCTTATACTGTACATACATCATTTGTATAGTAGGAAGCAGGGGTTTTCAAAGTTTGACACTGTGCCTCAAAATACACATGCAAATATTTACACCCCAGTCTCACAACAAAATGTATAATAGCTCTGTTGGTCTGCAATACAAAAAGTACTAGTCTCACAATTACACCTTCAAAATTACAACATTTTCTGGATAGAAAATTGTGGCATAGAAATGTTTTTCTGGCAGCAAAAATGGAAGAAAATGGTTACACTTAGTGGCAGAAATTACATGGTTAAGGTTAGGGAAGGGACCCTGAGTTCAGTTAAAAAACTTTTAAATGAAAAATGCACTCTTCAAATGAAAGGTACAACATTGCACAACTTCAGACATGGGACACAATCTGTCTGTGTGAAAGTCTGGTGTTTGTTGGACCCATTCACCCACCCCAACCACCGCCTTTCTAGCGTTTTTAACTTTCTATAGGTCAAACCTGTCCGACTTCAACGGACTCTTAATGTTACCTTCCTGATCCACACTCCAGGTCAGGTGGTGGCTGTAATGGGCCATGTTGTTGTCTGTAAAACACCATAAAACACCTAGAACAAGAACACAAAGAAGGACACTGGGGTGAAAAAAAACACTGGGTCTATCTCATGTCTCTTATAACATTGTTCCCATGTCCTCAGTAGGATGTTCCAAGTCTCTTACATCGGCTCTGAGGACCAAGGAGCAGGGAGCGAAGATGGTGCTGGAGGAGCCATGGCTGAGGATACACAAAGTTCACGGAGGTTTTTTGTGAAGTGCCATGCCCATTAATCAGAAATCAGATGGTGATTGGATGTTTCAGATGAAGGATCCAAGGAAAGGACATCTCTTATTGTTAGTAATGTGTTTTCTTGAGTTCTCTCGCCTCTTATGTTTTCCTTGCATCTTAGGTTGACAAAAGTAAGACACAAGGAAAAGACACAAGTGAGGGAAACAATGGCTCTTATAAGAGATTCAGAACATACCAACTGACATCAAATCAAATTTATATAGCACTTTAAAAACAACATCCAGCTGACCAAAGTACTTTACATGGCAGAATAAAATCACAATACATGGCTAAAATGAGTAAGTAAATTTTATTTATATAGCACCTTTCACAGACAAGGTCACAAAGTGCTTTACAAAGTCAAAAGATAAAAAGAGATAAATAATATACATAAGCCTAAAAGTACTCATATAGCACAACACAATTTATAAAATGAATAAACCTAATCAATTAAAAAACTGTCTAAATAAATGTGACTTCAGCTGTTTTTTAAAATCATCAATAGATTCAGTCATACGTAGAGTCAAGGGTAGGGCATTCCACAGTCTTGGAGCTACGACCTGAAAAGACAGGTCCCCCCGAGATTTAAAACGAGTTTTGGGGACCACCAAAAGAGTTTGGTTTACAGAACGAAGAGTACGTTTGGGGGAGTATGGGGTCAGCAGATCGATAATGTACTGAGGCACCTGCCCATGTAGTGCTCTAAATGTCAGCACTAAGATTTTAAAATCGATTCTAGCTTTGACTGGTAACCAATGGAGCAAATACAAGACTGGAGTGATATGAGCTGTTCTAGAGGTTCCTGTCAGGAGCCTCGCAGCTGCATTCTGGACAATCTGAAGACGATTTAAACTGGACTTACTACAACAGGTAAAAAAAAAAGAATTATAATAATCAATGCGTGAAGAAACAAAAGCATGAATAATCAACTCAAGATCTCCCTTTGATAAAATCTTCCTTAATTTAGATATATTTCTCAAATGAAAGAAGCAATTCCTGACTGTCTTATATGACAGTCAAATGACATTGCCTGGTCTAACACAACACCAAGGCTTAGAAGGCTCAACTGGACAGAAGAGCCCAACAAACCAAGGTGTTGTTTAATTCCGGCAATCTTAGTGTCAGGTGCCACAATAAGTGTCTCAGTCTTGTTAGAATTTATGCAAAGATAATTATTGTTGAGCCAGATCTTAATGGATGACAAGCACTCTAATAATATCGCTAATTGGTGAAACTCTGAATCATTAAAAGAACAATAAATTTGAAGATCATCTGCATAAAGATGATAAGACACATTGCCAAAGTGCCGCATAATCTGACCCAGTGGATATATATGTGGCCTGGTGAAATTAAACCAGCGCAGGACACAACAATGTCTTTTGGGTGTTTTATTCTGATTATAAATAATTGTGGTTTTCTCCAAACAAAATATAAAAGGAACAAAACAATGACTCAAACAACAGTCAACCCTGTCCCTCTCTCATTCGGTGCGGGACG